CTCCAAACATGGACTGTACAAACTCCCGTTTGATACTATAATTCACCCAATGTCGCGGCGGAGTCATTATAAATCTTGCTCTGGATTTGGGAGGTCCCGGGTTCAAACATATGCCCGAAGACCGGCTAGACTTTTGTGAACATGGTATTAAACGTTCGAGTTCCATAAAAGGCTGGGGAATATTGGACTAGACCTGCAGCTATTTAAGAACAAGAGTACGTGTTAATGAACCCAGATACAATTCTATTTATTCAACGCTAATTAACTCTACGGATGCTATACTGCTTTCACTGTTAAACGTTCAAGAAGATAATTGATAGCACAGGTAACTTTGTATAGAGAATTAATTCTTTCACATGTATCTTATATTTTATACATACTGTATATGTATGATTGTTTGGCAAATAGAAGTTTTATATATTAATGGAATTTAAATTAATTCACGAATCATTGGTTTTGAATGTTTCTTTTCAGAAAAATTTTAGCAGTAAGTACAACTTTACTGACTCAATGCATGGGCATTTCAAGTAATATTAAACTTTCATGACAAGATAATTAGAAGGAACTGCATGCTGAACTATCCAATGAGTAATTTATTATCTGATGGTATATTATCAATTTATTACTTAATCACATAATTTCATTTCCGCGAAATCTATGCATTTGTTTTTAAGTAACAACATTTTTTTATACTCTCGTAAGCTTAAGATATGAATATATTTTGTAACTGTCGTTATCGTTTTGGTGTAAAATGAAACTTTCGGAAATTAATTTAATCTTAAAGATAATGCATAACTGAGTGTAAACATTGATTATAAATTTACGGTAAACAGTTTACAGGATGCGCAAATAGTAACTACAATTCCACAGGCATATAAAACGTAGTACAATTAGTCATATGAATCAATCACTGTGTCATTGTAGGACAGTGCGGCCCAATGACTGTATTTCAATGTCAATGCCGGCTGCCATTGGACAGCCATTTTTGCTCACATTCGACGTCATACCTGTCGATCGCGATGGCTCCATTAGTTTTTTAAATAAGTAGGTAAGTGAAGCTAAGGAAAATCGTTCAACTTAACCAAACTATTGCCCTGGGGGCTAACTCTTTACAAATTACTTCCCTAAAACGTATTGTTATTGGGACTGTGTATGTCAATATCCTTCAGTTACTTTCACGAACTTTTAATTGTGTGATAACATATAATTCCATTGTAAGATATACGACAAGAGAACTGTTATTAACGAAGACAACAAGTAGGCAAAATACATTGAGACAGTATCGATAAATTGACTTATACATTTGACTGTGCTACCAGGTAGAAAAGATTTAGGATGACCTAGAATTAGATGGAAAGCAAGTTTAACTTCTCACCTTCGGAACGGGATTAAAGTACCTACCCACTACCTGTGGAGAAAAGAACAACTGATAGACAGTAAAGCAAACAAACGAAAGATGTTTAAAATGGAGAGACAAAATGTTGTTCACCAATTAAGCCTATAAAAAAAATTGTATACAAGTACTCGAATGAATGCCACCGGGAAGAATAGAAAGCTGGAAATCACTTTTATGGTTTAAATTTGCCTGCTCTGAATCCAAATAAGCAGTTGTTAGCAGAGGTCGGAAAGACATGATGAAGAAAGAAATAAACTGCATCGTATAACACTGGTTTGAGAATTGACTTGCTCAATGAAAATGTCTCGACGTCTGTCTTTAGTGCAATTTAAAATGCGTCATAATTTATACTCAGAACTTTCATTTTGAGTGATGATTATTTTCAAAAGTCAATACATATTTAAATTCGTTGCCATATAAGACATTTTCCAACATGATTTAATTACTCGTAGAATTTCAAAAATATTCCATTTTGTATCTGTTTGTTTGTGGTGTTATAAATTTGAACATTTCTATCATTTTCACAAGAGCAAATGCGGTAAAGTGTGCACTCCTGTCCTCTATATTCACTCTTCAAAGTGAAAGTTTCTAGAACTTTATAGTTTACAGAAGAGCAAATGCTTCGGTAAAGTGTGCACTTCTGCCCTCTATTCTTACTCCAAAATTAGGTCTACAAAACTGTGCCCCAATTTTAATCTGTGACGTTTCAAACTTGGCTGGACGAGATTGTCAAAATTTGTGTTGGCATCAATGATTTGTGACTGTAAATGTAAACAAAAGAAAAGTTCATCTCGATATGCGGTACCTGAACGATAACGTATTCAATCGATTACTTGAAAAAGGTTTGTGACTACCTTCCGTATATATACACAGCACGGTGTAGTACAGGTAACCTTCAATTTAAGTAACATAATGATGTTAGTAATGCAGTAACTGTGGTCTGAGTAAGCATGCTCAAATGTTATATTGGAAATCACTTAAATTAGCACATTGTACTGCTTTTTCAGACAGTTGTGAATGAAAACATCATCAGAATGTCACAGGAGTCTAGTTCTGGATCTGGAAGTCATGAAACCCACAGTCCGAGTCTTTTAAACAATCTTCGTCAGTTTCGGTTTCAGAAGAAATCGCCGCCTAAAATAGAAATCAGTCGGTTAAATGGCATAGTCAGTAACGGCACACCTAGTAAGTAGAAATTACGTCTTCCTCTTCAACCTCATATCCATGACCATTGTTCTGTAAGCTTTCAGAAGTCTGTCATTAATTTTGTCTTTTATGTTCTCTTTTTCATTGTAGAGATTGTTGTTAGATTGAGTTTTGAAAATTATTTAAATACGCTATTTTCAAGGCGTTTTGATGATAACTCTGACTTTACAGTTATCTTCAACTTCAGAAAAAGAATTACAGCTCTCCCTTTAATGCTTGAATTTTAGGTGAAACAAATACGTGAAAGTATCAGAAAAAATATGCTGTCATGGCTGGCTATGAAACAACATTGAAGCAGTCACTTCCATGATTGATCATATGCTTTTTATATTCAATTTGGGTACTGTAAACACCTGACATGTAGCTTTGTTGGAGTTTTGATGATAACTTTGATTTTAAAATTATCTTCAACTTCAGAAAAAGAATTACAGCTTTCTAATGCTTGAATTTTAAGTGAAACAAATATCAGTCGAATATGCTGTCATAGCTGGCTATGAAACATCATTGAGGCAGTCACTTCCAGGATTGATCATATGCTTTATATATTCAATTTGGGTATTGTAAATGCCTGATATGTAGCTTTGTTTCACCAGTTCTTTCTGAGAAATACATATAATATTTGATCACAATTATTGCCCTGCTATGTTGATGCAGTTTCAGAGATAAGTGGTGTGTAGGGAGTGTATAACACACCATCAGTAATGCTTGTAAACACAGGGAAAAACTGTTGTAAAAATTTTCTATCTCAGAAAACACGATTATTGTACAATAGAACATAATATGATTTCTGTTGGAAGCTTTTTGAATATTCAAAACAGCTCACAGACCCCCAGTACAACCTTCATGTTGACCAAGGGGTCTGGGGACCCTAGGTTGAGAACAGCTGATTTTATATTATTCTAGATATGTTGAATAATCAGCTGAATAAATTGAGGGTGAGTAATTGGTGCCCTTCCAGATCATGCATCAGTGGTGCCAGACAGTATGTCAAGTGAGGAGTCTGTAGTGGTTCAACGCAAGAAGCCAGTAGCTTGCATTCAGGATAGTGAAGATTCTGAAGGTGAAAATGAGGTTGACATTGTCCTCAAAGAGAACAATCTGAAGTTTCTTGAAGATGCCTTCCCTTCATTAGATAAAATGGTAAGCATTATAATAATATACAAACTAGTGTTTGTTCTCAGCATTATATAGTGAAGGACCAGCAGCATGAATATAAATTATAGTGTTGGACTCTGTCCTAAATAATTTCATTCCAGTCTCTATTACCACATTATACTTTCCTAGGATGCATTTCATTATCCTCCCATGTCAAGACAATTTTTTTCTATCAAAATTTTTCTTGAATAACTTGGGCTTTTGTGCTGTATAATCTTATGGTTGTATGCCAACATTTTGGATGACTGTACTGCATCCATCTTCAGCATACAGTGAAACCACTACATGGCACAACACATTTCTTTAAAAATATCAGATCCACGATTAACTTATTATTTGACGTGTTTTATTTTATGTTATATATTTCTACCAGAGTTATCAATTGCCATGACACAAAACATTTCCATTCTTTTCTATCTTTCCATTAGACCTTATCTTTAATTTTTGTCCTCACATTCCCTCCTCCCTTCTCTATCTTTCATCACTCATTGTCTTCACCCTGAATCTGCAAACATTAAGATTCTATGTACATAGATGTATCATTGCAAGGAATGCATTTGGCTGCTTTAGACTTGTGTGTACAGGATACCCAGTTTGAATTTGAGCCAGGATGGTACAGAGTAAAGACAATATGAGCAGTTTCAGATATTTCACAAAAACTACTTGGCATTCCACACTTCTAGTGGCCATTGTTGGAGTTGCATTAATTACTTCTCTCACATGCTATAAACATTTCTTGAAGTCCCCTCTGCAATGATACAAGTTTCATTTCTGTATGTTTAGTTTTTATTAAATATTTGAAACCACTCATATCATTTGTGTTCACTGTGTACTTTGCATTATGCATTGTTGCCTAATCACAGTTGTTTGCCATCTTCTTAACTAAGTGTGCTTCTGTATAAAACTTTTGCAGTTGAAACAGCATTATTAAATAATTAAAGTATTTAGTAACAATTTGGCACCTCTTGATGTAGAGAACATTTTTTTTACTTTTGATACCTTCCAAGCTTGTACTTAACCTCCACGGTGGTCTAGCGATTAGAATGCTGGTCTTGTAATCCTGGGGTCCCAGGTTCGATTCCCGGCGGTGCCCGAATTTATAACTTGTGTTGGGCAAGGCCGTGGTTTAGGCAACGCGGAGTTTTCCTCCGGGGCTTCCCCATTTTCTCTGTGGCATCCCAACAATTACTCCATACATACAGAAGAAGGCAATGGCAAACCACATCTGTATCACCTGCCTAAAAAACATTTATGAACAGGTCCCAGTCGGAGAAAAGGATGGAAGGATCCTGTTCAAAATATGTTGTCAAGCTCCTGTACAGGAGACGGGGTAATAAAGAAGAAGAACCGCCTTGTACTTAAATTATCAGTCTGTTCTCTATAATGTAATAATCAGTAACTTAAATGGTGACATTTGCAACTCAGGTGCTGCAGGATGCACTGGTATCTAGCAGCTGGAGTGTAGAAACAGCAATGGCACTCCTTTGTGAAGGCAGTTCAGTTGGAGACAAAAAACGTTCTGCTAATGTTCGGACACGCAAGAAAGGTAATATTGCGTGATATAAAAACAACTTACACTGAAATTAACCAGACAGGATGTTTACATCAAATCAAGCATTTTCCATATTCATAACTTTTTAATCTTTATACATTATTTCCACGTGGTACATAAAAGGAGTGCACAATAGGGTGGTCGTTTTCATCTGTCCATTTGCGTATTCCTTGTCTGAAACTACTCAGCAGATTTAGATGAAATTTAATAATAAGAATCTTCCACTAGAAATGGAATAATTTAATTTCATGCTTTGAGATCAATCATAACTCCTATTTGATACAAAATTCAGATTGGAAATATTCAAAATTGTTAGAACCATAACAAAAGATTTTTAAAGCATAGATTTTATTAAAATCTATAATTTTTAAACTAATAAGTAGATGATTAAATAGCAAACAAAAAGTGTAGTA